CCCCCCCCCCCAAGTTTTTAGTCAGGGGCGTATAGTAAAAGTCATGACAGGTCATGGGCTGTGAAGTTTTGTTTACTGCCCATGACCCGTCCGTGACTTTTACTAAAAATACCTGTGACTAAAACGTAGCCTTAACTAGAGAGGAACAGAGAGCCACACTTTGTAGGAGTGAGTTATGCCTCCAATAAATCAGTCAGCCAGTACAAGTTTGGTTGCATGTCATGTTGGGGGCTTGGCGGCGAGGGGGAAGAGGAGGGTTGTGTTTAAAAAAGTTAAGTATTTTCTGTAACCTTCAAATTATACAGTAGCTATTTAGTGTAGCTGGGTGATGTTCTTTTTCTGTCTCCCTCACCTCTTCCTTTCTCTGGTTTGTCACTCTCACTTGTTGCATCTTCTCTCTAATTAGACTGTAAACTCTTTGGATCAAGGACGGTCTCTACTATATGTTTGTAAAGCACCTAGCACACTGGATTCTCTAGGTAGTACAGCAGTACAAACAATAATTAGTAATAAGAAATAATTGGAGCTAGTTGAAAGTAGTTTTTTTCCATTGAGAAATGAAGTTTTGTTGAAATTGAAATGATCTGCAGGAAAGTGTCAAATTTTGGTAAAATCAACAGGCAAAAGTCCAGATGTTTTGTTTTGACGTTATCTGTTTGCTTTGGTTTTACTTATATAAAAATATATATAATATAAGAAATAATGTAATACAATATAAAAAGCTAAATAATGTTTTTACACCCTTGAAACACCATAGAAATTAAATATTTTGATTGTCCCAAACTGAAATTTTTAAGAATTTTCATTTTGTGAGAAACTTCAGAAATTTTTTTTGAATTGTCAGAATTTCCCGTGGGATGGAAATTCTGGTTCCCAACCAGCTCTGTAAATAATATGTCAAAATAAAATAAATTGTATTGAAATAATCCTTTACATTTGAACACGTTATTGCCTAAAACAGGCACACTGAATGACTTATGTATGTCGCTAGTTTATTCATAGGGCAGTTTCACTGATGGGTTAAAGTACTGTCCAAATGGAATCCAAGGTCTCCAAAGAGAAAATATTGTTAAAAAGCAGCTTGAGGCTATAAAAAGCTGCCAAGAGAAATTTAGGCTGGAGTACCAGAGAGATGTGTAAATGAAACATTACATGAGAAAACATACATTTTAAACATAAAATAATGAATAATTTCCATATTTAATGAAATGAATACAAGGGCAATGTTCAGTTTCAAATAATTAAGAAATATGTTGTTATTGAACTCTGACAAATTTACAGTAGAGGACTACTGTGTTAAGGTTTTATTCTGGTTATTAGATGTTCAGGTCATGATACTGCATATTGTTCTGCTAGGGTGGACTCCTGCACCCAAGCAGAGCCTCATTGACTTCACTGGAGTTCTGTGCAGTTGCAAGGATCCCACATGGAATAAGTTGTGGGAATGACACTTTTCATTATTAAAACTGTCCATTTGTATAATACATTTTTCATTTGCCAAATGTTTAAGGAGTAGGGTTTGCAGAGGGGAGCTTTTGTCTAGACTTAGTGTTCTTGTGTAAACATTAAAGTAACATATGGTAGAAATCTATTAAAGTACTGATCATGCAGTGAGATCTGCCTGGACAGATCCCTGCACCCATGTGGAGCCCTATTCAAGTAATGGGGCCATATTCACAATAACAATTTGTGAGTTAGCAAGTTGGTAACAAAAATAGAGGAAAAAAGCAAACATGCATCATACAATGCACTTCTGTTCATTTATTTTGTCGGCTGTAATTCTTTATGATGATGCTTTATTTCAGTGGTTCTCAAACTAGGGCTGCCGCTTGTTCAGTGAAAGCCCCTGGCGGGCTGGGCCGGTTTGTTTACCTGCCGTGTCTGCAGGTTCGGCCGATCGCGGCTCCAACTGGCCGTGGTTTGCCGCTCCAGGCAAATGGGGGCTGCAGGAAGGGCAGCCAGCATGTCTCTCGGCCCGCGCCGCTTCCTGCAGCCCCCATTGGCCTGGAGCGGCGAACTGCAGCTAGTGGGAGCCGTGATCGGCCGAACCTGCAGACGTGGCCGGTAAACAAAGTGGTCCGGCCCACCAGGGGCTTTCCCTGAACAAGCGGCAGCCCTAGTTTGAGAACCACTGCTTTATAGGATACTAATAAACGTACGTAGTAATGTAAAGTGCCTACCACACCTTTGGGCACTACAGAAATAATACTGTAGTATATTTTATAACAATAATAAAATCCTAGCAATAATAAGGCCGCTTTTGTAAATTTTAAGTTGTTTATTACTGTGTAAGAATTGAGGAACTTTGCAGATTTAGATAACAAAATGAAAACTTCCCAATTACCTACCATATCCCTCACCCCCAAACACACATGCACCTTTTAAAAGTATGGAAATAAACTATAAAACTAAGGTCAGTAAATATTCAAATACACTCAGTCTCTTAAATAAACATGATACAGATATTTGAAAAACAATGTTAATCCTGCGCAGATTTGTAAATAAGTGTTTTGAACTTAATGGGTTGTTGAATTAGCTTTTTCTTTAGAATTCAGTGGTATTTTACTATATCTAAAGTTTAAAGGTTTACAGTCAAGCTAGAGGTGTCTATGCATAGCCTTCACGTACAAGGCTATAGATCAGTGAGCGCTTCTCTACTCCTGTGCACTCGACTCAATATTACGTGGCACCAGTGGATGTCCCCCAGCTTCACATAGCCTTCTGAAGAGTGAAAAATGGGGATGTATAAAAGTGTAAAATTTTTTTTTTATTATATACACACACACACACACACACTCAGTACCTCACAGGTGTAGGTCCTTAATGAGTGAGTGTGTGTGTGTGTGTGTGTGTGTATATATATATATATATATCTTCTCTAACTGCTCCTCCCATATATATATATATATAAAATGAAGAAAGTGTATTACCAAGTTTGTCCGAAGATGATAAACTGTGCAGTTTAGTGAAGGGCAAGTCAGTGAGGCTCTACTACAGTCTTTATTTAAAAATAGAAAAGAAATGCCGTAATGATGCTGTTGATCTGTTCTTGATTGTCAAATGAAGAATAAAGCAAAAGAAGTTGTTTTTGTTTGTCAAACAAAGAAAAAAAGGTGGCAAAGAGAAGGGTTAGTGTTCAGTTCTCCTGCTTCAGTTTGATTTTTCTCTATGTGGGTGTAAAAGTGTTAAACTAAGGTATAGTCAATTGAAATAAGATTGTTCCTTGCCCTTATTATTCTAAATTAATGAAGACAACACTGAAGTGTACAACGTGGGATTAGGCGATGAAGATAACTAATTAAGGACCTACACCTGTGAGGTGCTGAGTGTCACTTTGTGGTATGCTGTGTTCTCAACTCCCATTGAATTAAGTGAGAGTGGAGGGAGCACAGCACTTCACATGACTGATTGAGCCTTAACATTTATATCCATATTTTGAACACTTCATAATTCATAGCTATTAGGATCTGAGGTTTTTGTTTGGCCCTCTGTAAAAATATGGGTCACTTGCAAAATTTGAATGTGTATTCGGGTTCAGAGTTCAAACACTATTATAGTTTGGGGATTTTTAGATTCAGGGTTTTTGCTTGAATTTAACTCATTAAGAGGCCCAGTCCTGCAACCACAGAAGTCAAAGGCAAAACTTCCATTGACTATGATGGTGCAAGATGGGGTGCTAAAAAAAACATTAACTTGAAAGACCATAACAATTTGAGATAAATGTATTATCAGATTGTCACAGACCAGCAGACGGGCCAGAAGATTCAGATTGTTACTGCACTTGATCAGAGCACAGCAGGCAAGCAGTTCATCTTAACAAATCATGATGGCTCTACCCCAAGCAAGGTGATCCTTGCCAGACAAGATTCCACTCCAGGAAAGGTTTTCCTAACAACTCCAGATGCTGCAGGTGTCAACCAACTGTTTTTTGCATCCCCCGATTTATCTGCACAGCACATCCAGGTAGAGAATCCACTTTATTTCATAATATTAATTCAGATGGGATAGGACAGGGGTTCTCAAACTGGGGGTCGGGACCCCTCAGGGGGTCACAAGGTTATTACATGGGGGTCACGAGCTGTCAGCCTCCACCCAAACCCCGCTTTGTATTCAGTATTTATAATGGTGCTACATATATTTAAAAAGTGTTTTTAATTTATAAGGGGGTCACACTCAGAGGCTTGCTATGTGAAAGGGGTCACCAGTACAAAAGTTTGAGAACTACTGGGATAGGAAGAGATGTTTTTCTTTCCAAATATTTTCTGTGCTAGTTCTATATTTTCAGTCTTTTTGCTGTTTACATTTCCCTGATAGCAAGACTTGGAGTTGTTGTTTAGAAACAATGAAGAAAATGATTTGTTCCTGGAAAGCTGTTATTTTTGAATTTATATTTCATGAGCCAGGGTTAAAAAAATATAAATGTGTAGTTTTATTTGTACTTTTCAAGCCAGAACCTTCTTGTCTCAGCTCCTAGGATAGCCTTTTTGTATTTCTGCCTCATTGACTCTCCATCTGTTTTAAAATATCATTTGAATACCATTTTCTCCCTTGGCTTTACTTCTTAATATTTCACTCCTCTTACCTTCATTTTATTTGCCATTGTAATTATTATTTAACTGAGTAAACAATTGTTATCTTAGACAAAATGCAGACAAAGGAGGTGGGAAGGGCAGGAGAGAGCATCAATGAGATTAAGTGGTGAACTTCAGCGTGTGTTTTGTAGTGTAATTTTTTGTATTTTTTTTTAAAGTAAAGCCCAACAAGGGTAAGTGTCAGTTAGATAAGGTTTAAAGTGCTTCCAGCATAAAGCAATTTGAGAAGGGATTTCAGTGGCATAGCTACAGTGGTGTAAGTGGTGTAGTCACAGCCAGACCCATGAGGTTATGGGGGCTCAACCAGACAAGTGATGCTCCCACATTTTAGCTGATTCACAGGTTTGCAATGCCACTTGCTCAAATTTGGCTACGCCAACCCTCCATCTGATGGAAGGGCAGCAAGACCAAATCTGATTGGCGTTGCAGTGTAGCACATGGGGATGCAGCGCCACTCAGGTTTGGTCTGGTCGCCCCCCTTCATGACAAAGGGGTGGCCAGACCACATTTGAGTGGTGCTGTGACCCTGTGTACCAGGTTGTAATGCCACTCATTGTCCAAATTTGGCCTGTGCCATGTGAATGCAGGGTGGGCAACGGGAGCCAGCAGAGCTAATGGGCAGCTAGGATCCAGAGTAGCCTGGGATGGGAACAGACCACAGAGCTGGGGGTGGGGGGTGGGTGCTGGTGAGTGGCCAGGGAAGGTCACAGGGGTGAGGGGCTGGGGAGTCAGTTGCTTGGGGGGGCTTTGGGTGAGTGGGGAGTGTTAGGGGACTGCAGGAGGAAGGGTTGGGGGTGAGTGGGGGATGTTGGTGGTAGTAGGTTGAGTTGTGGGAGGCAAAAGGGTAAGTTGGGGGCTGTGATGTTGGGGGTAAGTAAAATTTCCAATTTTAGAATCTGGAAGGGGGCCCCTAACCTATTCTTGCACCAGGGCCTTGCTTTGTTACACCACTGTGGTATTGAAAGGATAAGAAGGTGGACGAATGTCAGACTGGGTTAGGGAGCATGGTCTAGTTGTATGGGTAGTATGGAAAGGGGACATAAAGATGGGATCTAGTTGTGTAGCTTATACAGACCAAAAGAATTAGGGAGGCAGTGGAAAGAATATTTTATAATTTTTGTGCTTTCACAAGCTAAATATGTAAGGCCTATGGAATATATACAGTTCTCTGTCATTTTCTGTTAGGGCTTGTCTACATGGTACATTTGTGCATACTAACTGGGGTGTAAATTCTAGTGTGCATCTGTGTGTCACACACTAATTGGACCATGTGGACCCTGCTGGCACACATTAGAAGTTCCCTAGTGTGTGCTGATGTAGTCCTGTTTCAAACAATACTGTGTCAGTGCACGCTATGGAACTTTTAGTGCATACCAGTAGGGTCCACGTGGGCCAATTACTGTGTGACAAGCTGTGCACAGTATAATTTACATCCCAGCTGGTGCATACTAATGCATCATATAGAAAAGCCCTTAGTGAAATGTGCATTAACTACCATTTTAATGGGAAGCTAGCTTTTAATTTTCCATTCACTGGACACGGGGCTTTCATTTAATTCTAGATACTTGTCGTGTTCTCTCATATCTTCTCTAACTGCTCCTCCCATTTGCAGTTTTGCACGTTCTTTTATTTTACACCTTAATTTGAAACAGGCTTCCATTTCCTGTGCGCGCGCACACCGTTCCTCTTTCAAATCCTTCCTTGAAATCCACATTTTGTGGAATCTTTCTTGATTAATTGTTTCATCAATAGTGGCTCTGCATCTTCGTGAATGGCAACTCTTGTTCTGAGTGTCATATTTATCCAAGGTAAATAATGAGCACTTTGGAGCAGGGACTTTCCCTCCTCTTGGGCCAAATTCTGGAGTCCTTGCATAAGCAAAACTCTTTATGACATCAATGCAAGTTTTGTCTACGGAAGGACTTAAGGAATTTCTTGTATGTTATGTATAATTCCATGCACAATTATAGCACTAAATAATAATTGCAGCTGAGGTGAAATGAGAAATTAATAAACTAGTGATGTTTTGTCATTGAGCCAACTTTTTCTTTAAGAATGTTAATGTTAAATTAAAAGAAACTTCAGTGATGTGTAATAGCAGTAAAAGATTAGAGGTAATATCTTAGATGCTGTTGCTAAATAAACATTTACTTATGGGGGTGTGAGAGAGAATTTTCAAAGCACTTTTTAGACATTCATGTAACATTTTCATTATTTCTCTTTATAGAATAGGACTATCGCCTTTCTCAGTAGAGCTTTTCTTAATTATATTTATCTTCAGAGCCCCTGTTTTGATTATGCGAAGCAGAACTGAAAGAATCAACATTCTTATCAGGAAATGGGAGGTTTCAAAAGTGCTTCTAATTTCCAATGCTTTTAATGGGACTATCAATTCTTTCATTCCTGCTTTGCATTGTGAGATTGTTAAAATGATGTTTGGTAGTTATGCAATCATATTGTCCTTTTTAATTGCAAGCAGTGCTTTATTATTTTTTATAATTTTTACAATATCTGTGTGCAAGATCTTTTAAAGAACAACTAGAAAGCTATGATTCCTACCCTGAAGTGTTATTGCTATGAGTCTAGTTTTAGACGTGACATAGTGAATGAGGGTAACAAACATCAGACGGGATTGGGGTGAAGCAAGGCAAGTTACAATAGTAACATCACAGGTACTCAGTTTAGAGGCATTTTTACCTCTTGATAATGAATAATTCAATTAAATATATTGTGTTTTCAAAATATATTTATCATTGGTTCACTCTTGTGAGCACAGTGAAAGAAATGAATGCTAAGGAAAGATTTGAATGCCTGGATGACCAGAAGGCTTGACAAATGTAGTTTTGAAAATATAAGTGCTTTCTGCAAAAATCTTCTCTGGATAAGATTTGTTTTAATACTTTTAAAAGATTTTGATAGTTAAATTTAGGACCCATCCTGAATAGGGATCTGCCTTGGTGCAGCAGGCACCAACATGCAGTCAACTGCCAGGGCCATAAACAGTAATTGAGGGGACTTGGTGATTCACAGGATTGGGCCCTTAGTTTAGAGAGAGGCATTTTAAGGATGAGATTGGCTTTTATTTTCCATATTTTTAGGGTAGAGAGAGAGAAAAGTGAAATAATTTTGTACTTTCTTCCAGATTTTAACAGACAACACTTCCACTGAACAAACCCTAAATAAAGTATTTGATCTCTGTGTCGTATGTGGAGACAAAGCATCAGGTAAATTCTTCAGCAGGACCACTTTTTAAAAGCAGTTTCAAGCTATTCTTCAGAAACAAAGTTTTCACTTTTTTTCACTGATTAGTTACTTTTTAATAAAAAGTGGATGCCTAATGTAGCTGGACTGTGTATAGATGGGATTTATTAATTTTAGCTTTAATAATTGCATTTGTTTAAACGGTCCACTTAAAGCAATTTTCATATGTAGTTTAAGCCTGTCCAGGTCAACATTATATTATTATACAACTACAGACACTGACCAATCAAATTACCTGATTGGCTGCAAATGCATTCTTAATTGACTGGCCATTCTGGCATTTTTGTAAAAGAAATGTTGTACAATGGACTTGTTCATTGTTACTTTGAAGTGATTTTTTTTCTTATCATTATTATTTTAAACTTAAGATATCTGTGAAAAACCGTGCTAGTTGTTTATAATACAAAACAGACACAATCAGGGAAGACCATAGAAATGTATTATAAAGTGCTCTTATGAGTTGTTTGTGCTAAGCCAGTGGTTCCCAGCGTGGTGCCTGCGGGTGCCATGGCGCCCGCCGGGGCATTTATGTGCACCCACCTAGTGCCCAGCAGGGGAGAGAAGCTGCGGCCCCACGCCTGCCGGGGACAGAGAACTCCGGGGCTACGGGCGCCGGTGTTCTCTGTCCCTGGCAGGTGCGGGGCCCGCCTAGTGCCTAGCAGGGGAGAGAAGCCGGGCCCCCACGCCTGCTGGGGACAGAGAACTCCGGGGCTGCGGGCACCGGTGTTCTCTGTCCTCGCGGCTTCTCTCCAGCTACTCTCTTCTCTCTGGATTCATATATTATGTAATATTAAATATGATGTGTTTCGTATTATTTAATGTACAAATACAAAATAAGCCTTGAAAAATTGTTGACGCCCGCCACACTCTTCTGAAAACATAAATGTGCTTCTGGCCACAAAAAGGTTGGGGACCACTGTGCTAAGCCATTTGAGTCATCATTTTTGGAATTGCCCAAACACTGAGGACACTTTATAATTCCACTAAGGTAGGGTGTGTGTGTGTGTGTGTGCGTGCGCGCGCGCGCATGTATATGTTATCAAAATGGAATGTTAAGGTAAAAGGGGAAAAGCCAAAAAATGCCCTTTGCAACAGTATTAGGGAACTGAACAGATGGAAGGGGGTAATGAAAGTAGGGAACCAAATGCCAAGTGTGCATTGCGCGCCAGGGAGTCTGTGGAGAGCTGTGCTGCCTATCCCAACCCTGTGCCAGCTCTGTCTCTCCTCCCTATCCATCCCTACCTCTGAGTCTCTGGTATGTGTTAAGCCTAGCAGCATGTTTTCCAGGATCTGTCAGAGTTGGACTGCACTCAGGCAAACCTCCAAAGGCTCACTAAAGGGAGAAGCTTCCTCTTTAGTAGAGATGCAAGCCCTGTTTCTCAAGTATGGTTTGGCTGCAAATTTCCCCCTCTCTCTGTGCACCCTGGAAGGGGACATAGAAAGGGAAGACTTTTAGCCTAACTTCTGTGAGAATTGGCTAGAATTAGCTCCATTAGGGAAGCTATTTCTCCATCTGGCAGTCTGTCTGATTTGTCAGAGCAGGGGAGGCTGAAGGAGAATTGATAAGGATGGGGGGGTCATAGAGGCAGCTAGAGTTAAGAGGCTGCTCAGGGCCTTAGTTTGGGAACCAGGGAAAGAGTGACAAGGCAGAATGTCTAGAGACTCAGAGAGGCTGCATCAAATAATGGAAGTACTCTGCAAAAAAAACCAAAACTGTCACCCTCCAAAGTGAAAAATAAAACTGTTATGGTAAACCATTTTATTTATAAGTATTTATTTTTAAAACAACTTTATTTGTAGTGTGAAACTGTATGAAATTTCATGTGTGTGAGACATTTGAGGTTATGTTAGAGGGATCTGAAAGTAAGTTAGAATCTCTGGAAATCTCTTCCAGACATCTGAATGGAAGTCTCTAAAGAGTGAGTAAAGTACCTATAAAATTAAAGTTTATCCTCTTTGAATAAGTCAACATTTGAAATTGATTTTTGTGAATTGTCCTTCTTAATTAGAGGAGCAGCCATGATACCTTCATAATACGTATTTTTGAACATTTCTGTATGGCCTTGCTTTTTAGATTTTAGTTCTGGATTATAAAATTAACAGTATGTATAGTAGCTGTGTCTAAATGACCAAGAGTGCCTTAACCTGTAAATGCAGTATTCTTGTAGCCATACTCAGGGTTTTATTTTTTCAGCTAAGCAGGTTTTAAATATTGATTTTAAAAGAAAAATAAAATCTGGATTGTAGGGACAGAATAGCACAATGAGAAAAACTGTGGAAATGTTGAATTTTTTATTGATTTAATAATTTTTTGTTTACTTGCATCACTGAATACTTTCATTATAAAAGAGAATTATGGACTTATCTTTACCCCAATTTAAAAAACAAAAATCGATAGGTTTGAAATGGTAACAGACATTGTCATCAAGTGAATACATTTATACTGTCTCCTCTTTACATATACAGTCTTTCTGTCATCTTTAAATCGTGCAGTTATGCTGCTAAATTGTATGATAGACAATAAAAGAACTTGATTAGAGGGTCACTGAGAAAAATTACTAAAGTATGTGTAATTCAAGTAACTAATGCTTATCCCAATGCTCCTGGGGAGGAGGGAAGCCAGTTTTCGGGCCTGTCTGCTATTGCTAGCAACAGAGACACTGGAGTCAAGGAGTTAATAAACTATTGGGAAATGGTCATCTTGCGTGAGTTGTTTAAACCAGAGATTTGGTTAGTTTGCTTCACTGTGTGATTCTCTAGCCACTTGGTAGTATCTTCATATCTGTAACTCATTTAAAAAAGTACATCCGTGCCTTGTCTGTGTAAAGTTATACATACTCTTTGACTTGTCTAAATATAATTTCTTTTTAAAAGAGGGAAAATGTTATTAACACTGTAAAATTAATGTCCTGACTTATGCTGTTCTTCAACTAGGACGTCATTATGGAGCAGTAACATGTGAGGGATGCAAGGGATTCTTTAAAAGAAGCATACGAAAGAATTTAGTTTATTCATGCCGAGGGGCAAAAGACTGTGTCATTAACAAACATCATCGAAACCGATGTCAGTACTGTAGGCTGCAGAGATGCATCGCGTTTGGAATGAAACAGGACTGTAAGTATAAGTAAGATTTATAAATCTGGTAGGAGGTGAGTGAGTGTGTGTGTGTGTGTATATAGTAAAAAAAATCAGGCATATATAATAAAATATAGCAGGCGTTCATGACAAGGTTTGTGCTATGGAGCATATACTGTTTTATATGCATGCAAATCAGGCTTTACCTTCATTACTGTTATGAAATAGTTAGATCAACTTCTCCTTAAAGAATGGTAAGTCCAGTGTGACTCAAACTCTGAATTTTGGCAGTTTGTCAAATATTGAAATAACCTTAAAACCACACAGAACAGAGTAAATAATAATAAAGTGTTGTTCCTAGGCAGCAGGCATCCATTTTCTGTGATAAATTGTCTGGTTGTAAATTTAGCAGCTGAAGAAATTTTGATTAACTCCATCTTCCCGTCAGTTTGTCCAGCAGTTTCTGCACCCTACCTAGTTTGCCCAGCAGAGGAAGGTATCTCCCAGGCAGACATTAACAGGCACATATGACTTAATTCTTGCAGATCTAAGTTCTTTTTTGAAATTTCCTTGTGCTGGCAGAGTTTAAATATGTACATGCTCAAAGACAATGTAATTTTAAAAGTTACGGATTAATGTGACTTATTTTTTAATCCTTCGTTTTTGTGACTTTTATGGTCTCACTACCTTAAAATAGTCCCACAAATGGAATCTCAACCTCGTATTAAACATTATGTATTTATATGTAGCATGTAATGTAGTCCCTAGGAGGTAAATGGCTTTAAAGTGGCCAGGTGCATTGGTGCCTATTTTAAATTATGCACTGGATTGAACCTACAGTTTACTGGTCTGGGTCACTACACTCTTCCATTGTGTAACTCCGTTGAAGTAAATGGAGTGACACCATCTTAAAATTCATGTTACAGAGTGGAGAATAAGACCCTACATATTTTAAGGCGTTCCATCTCATAAACATTTTTAGTACATGTTTTGGTTTTGCAATGACAAAACTAATTTTGTTGTAAGTATATAAGTAGTTATTTCCTCATAAGGAGATGTTCTCCCTTTGAGTTCTTAAAATGAAGTTATGTAAGTAAGTTTCTAGTTGGCTTTGTTGTTTGGAGTCAGATTTCTCCATGTGGTAGAATAGTTTCCAGTTTGTTTTAATGATGCCATATTTGTTGTCATGGAACCAAGAGGTTGAGTAGTTGTGGATTAAATTTCCAGAGGGAGCATAAGAAGGAGACACTGTGACTCCTTCCCAAACAGGGAGGGAACATGTGGGCTTAGCAGACAAAAGGAGATAGACTGAGACAATGTGAAGCAAAAAAGCCTTCCCAGGAGGATCCAGACAGGTGAAAACTCCCTAAGGACCACTTTTAATTTCTTCATAAATTTCAAATTATTGGCCTTTATGTGTTTGACCTTCAGTCTTTGACTCCTTCAACATAAAAACAAGTGTGTTTATTTATCCAGAGTCATAGCTAATGATTTTTATGCACTTTTGTTATTCAATATAGCGTCTATATAAAAACACAAATATATTAAACTGCAAGCTTTTTCAGCAGTAATTGGAAAAACAGGACACAATTTCTTAAACACTCTTGTTTGTGATATCTCCATCTGACTGTTCGTGAATTTTGGGTTCTCACCTAATAGTTACACACCATTTTGTTAGCTGTTCAGTGCGAGAGGAAACCAATTGAAGTATCACGAGAAAAATCTTCAAACTGTGCGGCTTCTACAGAAAAGATCTACATCCGAAAAGATCTGCGCAGCCCACTTGCTGCAACTCCAACTTTTGTAACTGACAATGAAACAGCAAGGTATGTTAATAGTGCTCAAGACTAATAGTTTCTTGATCTCAGAAACTCAGAAGACTAAAATTTGTACTTTTTTTCCCTTCAGATCAACAGGACTGTTAGAGTCAGGAATGTTTGTAAATATTCATCAGTCCGGAATAAAAAGTGAGCCTACAGTGCTTATGACCCAAGATAAGGTATGTGATGACATGAATAAAATACTAAGGCTACATCTACAGTACGAGCTTGAGGTGTGATTTCCCAGCTTACATAGACATACTTCTGCCTGCTTTCATTGAACTAACATAAGTATAAACAGCAGTGTATCTGTAGTAGTACAAGTAGCAGCAGTGAAGGCATGACTTAGCTGTGCCAAGTACTAACACACCTTCCTGTAATTCTTATCTGTTTTAGACAACCTGGGACATAAAGGTTACCTCTCTTTTTCATTTAAAAATTGCTGGCTGTAGAAAGTCTTCTTCCTCTTGCAAGAAGACTTTTTTTTCTTGTATTTTGGACTCTGAGCACAGCAGGCTTTTTTCCTTTTTGTGCTGACTGGTTGGTGAACATGGGCCAGCCACTTTCCTACTTGGACTCGCAGTATGTTAACAAATTTCTTACACATGTGTTCTTGGATAACGTCTCTGAATCGTGCAACTTTAATTGCATTTCTGCATTCACGTGCTGATTGCACGGTTGAGCTGATAAATGGCAGGGACAGACCGACCACTTCTTCAGTTCCTTCTCACTGTCTTTTGGTCCAAGTCAGAACTATTAGTGTTCTCTTGCGTGTGTATAATTGTATATAGTTAGTTTTTTGTAGTATTTAGCCATTTTACTGTTTTTGCATAGTTTTTAGTCATTTTAGTAGTTATTTAGAGTTGATTTGGGACTTTTGGGGGAATCTATTTACTTGTAAACACCTACCCACACATGGGTACTGGACTATGCCAAATACCCCATGCTTTAAAATCTGCACCTCCTGCCTGTGTTCCTTCTTGATCAGTAATGAATATCAGCGCTGCCTCTACTGCTTGGGAGAAGTCCATTCTTCATCCAAGTGCAGTATCTGCCAGTCCTTCCCAAGCTGTACCCAAGAAATCTAGGGTGTCTGCCTCAAGAAGCACCTCATGGAAGTCGCTATGAGACCTCAGTCAGACCCAGGCCGGGGAATCCCTCTTGTACATCGGCCTGAGACAGCCAGGAGTGCATCTCCAGCTACAGAGATTGAGTTTGCTCTGGTGGTACCACCACTATGGACTCTGTGCTGGGGCCGGGAGGTCAGGAATCATGCACATAAGCATGGCAGTAAGTCTTCCTCTAAACCGAAGAAAGGGGATGCGCCTTCCACGAGTTCCAGCCACAGGGAAGCAGTGCGCTCCAAGATCCATAAATGTGACAAGAAACCGCACAAACTGGCAGATTTGGGGTACCAGGTACCAAGCCCCACACACTGTCAACGTCTGCCTCTTTTAAGGTACAGGACCCGTCGACTCTGGGAAAGACCACTGCATTCAAGGCACCCTTCACCACATCCTCCAGTGGTCTACACACTTCCACCAGCTCTGACGTTAGTGCCAATGGAACCGGGATCCGAGTTTTCGTCCTTTAAGAATTCAGATGAAGCACGGGGGCTGCCCATTCCTTACTGCCAGTATGAGTACCCAAAGAGGCCATCTATATCATGGCAATATCCTCCTCGCCAACTGCAGAGGAGTCTCTGATTCCCCACACCCTGGTGCTGCCACAGCACCCTCCAGATCCGTCATGTTGGCCCTACTGGGGATCCTGGCCCCAATACCCACCCATTCCGTGTGGGAACCTTCACTTCTCCTGCATCTAGAACACCCTCAAGTAGGTATTCTGCACTGATCATGGAAGAAGACCTGCTCAGTTGGGTTCCCACAGTACTGCTGGAGCAGAAGCGCTTTCTGTTTTTCTCCCAAGGTGCTGCAGTGACTTCGGCTTTCTCCTTGCTCCCAGATGACTTTCGGTAATTCCAAGATCTCCTGGGTAGGGTGGCAGGTGAACTTCACATCCTCCTGGAGGAAGTACAGGACACGCAACAACAGCCCCCGGACATTCTTTGGTACTGGGTAGGGTTGCCCTGCCAATCAACAATGCCATCCTCCAGCCAGCTCAAACAGTTTGGCATACTCCGGCCATATGCACACCTACCCCCACGGGGGCAGAAAAGAGATACTATGTACCGGCTAAGGAGACTGAGTTTCTTTTCTCGCACCCCCCTCCCAATTACCTTGTAATACAGGCCAGAATGGTCCAGATAGCAATACCCATGCTCCAGTCTGGCTGATAAGGACGGCAAATGGTTGGACCTTCTGTGACGCAAGGTCTTCTCAGCAAGCCTCCAGTTCAGGATTTTGAACTATCAAGCATTGCTTGCCAAATATGACGACTTGAACTATAGCAAACTGGAGGATTTTGCTGAGAAACTGCCGCAACAAGATCAGGCCTGGTTCCAGTCAATCTTGGAGGAAGGGGAACTGGTGGTGAGGACAGTGCTTCAATCAGCTGTAGAAGCGGCAGGCATAGGCACCGACCCCGTGGATGCACTCACTGCCAGCCCCACGGATCAGTGCCCCAGCGCTTCCCCCCCCACCACCACTGAGGATCAGCTGTTCAGTGGCATTCAGGAGGCGCTGGCGGTGGAGAGGAGGAGATGGGAAGAGGTGGGGTGGGGGTAGGGCCTTGGGAGGAGCAGCGGTCGCGCACCCCCTGAGGTCTGAGTAAGTTTGTGCCTATGGTGGCAGACACTTCCTCACGCTTGATGGCTACAAGCATTGTCATGCAGAGGGAATTGTGGCTTCATTCCTCTGACTTCCCCAGGGAGATACAAAGTACCATTGAGGACCTCCCTTTCAATGAATTTAATCTTTTTAATCAGAAAACAGACGAGTCCCTCCACATCCTCAAAGATTCATGAGCCACACTTCACTCGCTGGTATCTACCTACCAGCACCCAAGCCTAAATTCTACTGCTTGCCATCCACATAACAGTACAGGATTTCCCAGTTTTTCCACAGGAGGCTGTACGAACCACCAAGAGACCCAACGATCTCTCTCTCCAGGTCCACCTTCACAGCCTTCCTCCTCACACATGCAAATCTCTCAAAAAAGATATTTCTGAGGAACCATCAACCACTCCGTCCCCTTTGGCAGTTGTCTAGCACTCTTTCTACCAGCTTGGAGTGCATTATGGGGTCCTTATATTCCCCTATCTCGATAACTGGCTTCTAGCAGCACGATCCAGAGATGAAGCTCGAGTCTCAACCTCCATGTTCCTGAGACTCCTTTCCTTCCTTGGAGTCAGCGTCAATGTTGAAAAATCAACTTTGGTTCCCACACAGTCCCTAGACTTCATAGGGGCCTCCATCAGCTCAATCACAGCACGAACTTACCTACCAACGGTCAGATTCCGACTGTCCAAGAAATCAACAGTCTGTCGGTCCCAGCCAGGACTTGCCTATCCCTCCTTGGCCACATGGCATCATGCACATATGTCATTGTCTTCACTCACTTTCACCTTCACAGCCTCCAGATGTGGCTCAAAAAGAGTTTACTCACACATGTGACATACCATAGATTTTATGCTGACATTTCCCCGAGATATTCTCGTCCCTCCAGTGGTGGATGAACCCATGACAGGTCTGTGTGGGGATCCCCTTTTTCCCATCCTCCCTGGACAGGACAATCATCAGCGATGCATCCCTCATAGGGTGGGGAGCACACGAGAGATCACATGACACAAGGGACATAGACTCCTTGGGAATCCAGGATGCTCATCAACGGTCTGAAAGTCCGGGCTGTAAGGAAGGCATGCTAAACATTTCTTCCATCCATCTGCTCTGATCATGTTCTCATCGTGTTGGACAACACTACCACTGTTTATTACATCAACAAACAAGGGGACAGGAAGTCAACCGCTCTGTGTGCGGAGGTAGTCAATCTATGGAATTGGTGCATCGCACACAAGATCCTGCTATCTGCAGCCTATCTTCTGGGGACTCAGAATGTGATTGCAGACTCTCTCAGCAGCAGATTTGTGTTTGATCATGAGAGGAAACTCCACAACACTGTAGTAAGCAACATCTTGGTTCCTACCAAGCCAAATAGAACCGCTTCACCTCCTGGGCCCAACAGAAAGAGCTTTCCCCAGAGGAAGTGGAGATTCCTCTTCTTTTGGATTACCTCCCATTCTTAAAAACACTGGGGCTCACCCTCAAAGCCCACTTAGCAGCAATTAACGCCTTCCACCCCACCCCCCTCCATGGAAAGGCACTGTGTATTTACACACTCGTTGACTGCTAGGTTTTGGAAAGATCTCATCAGAACTTTCCAATACGCACAACCTATTACTCCTCAGTGGGACCTCAACCTCGTTCTATCAACACTAATGAAACAACTCTTTGAGCCACGGGGTCTGCTTTATGTCCCTCTTTTCAATCCCAAGTTTCTACCAAAGGTTGTATCTCAGTTTCATCTGAATTAACCCATCCACTTACCTGCTTTCTTTCCGAAGCCTCATGCCTCAGAAGAGGAACAATGACTTTGCTCCCTTGACCTCCAACAGGCTTTGACCTTCTAACTGCAGAGGTCAAGACTGATCAGGAAGTCTCCTAGATTGTTTATCTGAGTAGTGGAGAGAGTTAAGGGGCATGCAGTCTCTACACAGAGAATCTCCAGTGAATTTTGGGTGCATTACACTATGTTATGACTTGTCAGGACTGCCTCCACCCATGGGGGTGAGGGCCCATTTCACGAGAGCCCCGGGTTCAACCACGGCCACTCTCCATGAAGTGCTGCTTGGAGACACATGTAGAGCGGCCACATGGAGTTCAGTACATACCTTCGCTACACGTTACACCTTGGTGCAGAACTCTGTGAGGGATGCCTCATTTGGTGCAGCTGTCCTCCACTCAACCATTCCATCCTAATCCTTGCACCCTCCTCCAAATTAGGTACTGTTTGTTAATCACTCTTAGTGGAATACAATAGGGACAAAAGGGAATACAATACATAACTCAAAGAAGAAGAGGCGGTTACTTACCTGTAGTTGGAGATTCTTTGTGTGGTCCTTATCTGGATTCCACTTCCCGCCCTCCTTCCCCTCTGCTGCGGATCTCTTGGATTTGCGGTGGAGATGGAACTGGAGACTTGGTCGGTACACTCCACCCTTTATCACCTAGGATGAAGCCATAAGGTGAGGCAAGGGCGCATGCGTGGAACAACGGACACTACTACTTTCAAATTCTCTGTCTTAGGACACATGGTGTTCATCTGTAAACCCTCAATAGCATACAGATAGGGACCACACATCTTGAAGAACCTCCAGTTACAGGTAAGTAACCTCCTCTTTCACCAATATAGTTGTTGTTCAGGTATTTAGTGCACTAGATGAGGTATACCACACATTGTGATAGGCATATATAGGACCCATGGGTCTTGTAAGGAGTGTTGTGGGGAGTATTGATCATCATAGCAATGTAGCTATGTATGAAGGTTGTGCATCTGTTGCTCTAGCAGGGTCCGGTGCCGCTTTGAATGTGTTTGTCCTTGTCTATTGGGAGCTTGCTTCTGATGATGAGCTTGGTGACATTTGGGAATTGTTTGAAGGCCAGAAGAGGGGGTTTAAGAAAGATTTATTTCAGGATATGGTCCCCATTGAGTTACTGTTTTTAATGAAAGTCTGTATGGGTTCCAGTGTGCGAGACAGGGGACAACTAGGGGTGTGTGGGCAGAGGGTGTCCCTCTACCAGATACAGAAGCAGATTCTCTTGGGGCATATCCCTAATATCCTGGGACCAACATGGCTGCAACAGCACTGCAAACAAACCAAAAGGCAAGTCTCAAGAAAGCTTTCTGCAGTTGTGCTGAAAAATTTGACCATAGTGTAGACTATGAAAATTCAAATGCTGAGCAAGTTTAAAAAAATGTGTGCGAGAAACAAATGGGATTTATAAAGCTGAGAAATCCTAGGCACTGTGCAGTTCAACAGTGTAAAATACCAGTAATTTCGCCCAGTGAAGCAAGGTCTTACACTCAACTTGATGTTTGCTGTGTTGCTGAAGCCACGTTGGTCCTAAGATATACCTTGTCACTCAGCTTGATGTTATTTCTCTGTTTGGATGCAACGCAGTAACTTTTGAATATCGCATCCAATCATTTCGGAGAATATACTAGCCATCAATAGACAAAATCCTATTGATTTTGGTGACAATCGAGGAACTGGAAGAGGGAAATGGGGGACATGTAGAGCCCCTTACATCTTGTTAGCAGATCCAGCAGCTTTACCACCTCTGTAATTGTCCAGAGATCAAAGACCCGTTTAATGCCAGCCATTAACACCTTCCAGCATAACAATCTCAGCTCTGCCCATCCTCTCAATACAGTTTAACATGTTGACACCCGTAATGACTTGTCTCCCAGACAGAATTTTTTTTAATAATAATGGTGGGGGTAGGGGTGTC